GTGATGGTTCAACAGTTCAGCCTAGTGGTGTGCAGCTAGCACAGGCAAGATACCAACTTGTGGCCCAGCCCAGCCTCCAACAGTCATCTCAAGCCAGCAGCCAGAACTCTGAACAAGCTGTATCGCAATCTGTGGACCAGTCCAGTGGCCTACAATCAGCCCAAGCCAGCTCACAGTCTGTGGACCAGTCTGGCATCCAACAACCAGCCCAAGCCAGCTCACAATCTGTTGAACTGTCAGGTAGTCTGCTGTCAGCCCAAGCCAGCTCACAGTCTGTGGACCAGTCTGGCATCCAACAACCAGCCCAAGCCAGCTCACAATCTGTTGAACTGTCAGGTAGTCTGCTGTCAGCCCAAGCCAGCTCACAGTTTGTGGACCAGTCTAGCATCCAACAACCAGCCCAAGCTAGCTTACAGTTTGTGGACCAGTCTGGCATCCAACAACCAGCCCAAGACAGCTCCCAGTTTGTGGACCAGTCTGGCATCCAACAACCAGCCCAAGACAGCTCCCAGTTTGTGGACCAGTCTGGCATCCAACAACCAGCCCAAGTTAGCTCACAGTTTGTGGACCAGTCTGGCATCCAACAACCAGCCCAAGTTAGCTCACAGTTTGTGGACCAGTCTGGCATCCAACAACCAGCCCAAGCCAGCTCACAGTTTGTGGACCAGTCTGGCATCCAACAACCAGCCCAATCCAGCTCACAGTCTGGCCTGCCACCAGCACAAGCCAGCTACCAGTTTGTGCCCCAGCTTGGTTTCCAAAAACATACACAAACTGGCTCCCAATCAGTGAATGGCCCCAGTGGTCTGCAGACAGTACAAGCTCGCTACCAGTCTTTGTCCCGGCCCAGCGGTCTGCAGACAGTACAGGCCCGCTACCAGTCTGTGTCCCGGCCCAGCGGTCTGCAGTCAGGACAAGCCCGTTACCCGTCTATGGACCAGCTAAGCGGTCTCCAATCAGGCCAAGCCCGCTACCAGTCTATGTCCCAGCTTGGACTCCAAAAACCTAAACAAACTGGCTCCCAATCAGTCAATGGGCCCAGTGGTCTGCAGACAGTACAAGCCCACTACCAGTCTGTGTCACGGCCCAGCGGTCTGCAGTCAGCCCAAGCCAGGTACCAGTGTGTTTCCCAGCCCAGTGGTCTGCAGTCAGCCCAAGCCAGGTACCAGTCTGTGTCCCAGCCCAGTGGTCTGCAGTCAGCCCAAGCCAGGTACCAGTCTGTGTCCCAGCCCAGTGGTCTGCAGTCAGCCCAAGCCAGGTACCAGTCTGTGTCCCAGCCCAGTGGTCTGCAGTCAGCCCAAGCCAGGTACCAGTCTGTGTCCCAGCCCAGTGTTCTGCAGTCAGCCCAAGCCCGTTACCAGTCTATGGACCAGCTAAGCCATCTCCAATCAGGCCAAGCCCGCTACCAGTCTGTGTCCCAGCTTGGATTCCAAAAACCCACACAAACTGGCTCCCAATCGGTGAATGGGCCCAGTGGTCTGCAGACAGTACAAGCCCGTTACCAGTCTGTTTCACGGCCCAGCAGTCTACAGTCAACACAAGCCCGTTACCAGCCTAGCAGTTTGCAATCAGCACAAACCAGGTACCAGTCTGTGTCCCAGCTTGGTTTCCAAAAACCTACACAAACTGGCTCCCAATCAGTCAATGGGCCCAGTGGTCTGCAGACAGTACAAGCCCACTACCAGTCTGTGTCACGGCCCAGCGGTCTGCAGTCAGCCCAAGCCAGGTACCAGTCTCTGTCCCAGCCCAGTGGTCTGCAGTCAGCCCAAGCCAGGTACCAGTCTGTGTCCCAGCCCAGTGGTCTGCAATCAGCCCAAACCAGCTACCAGTCTGTGTCCCAGCTTGGTTTCCAAAAACCTACACAAACTGGCTCCCAATCAGTCAATGGGCCCAGTGGTCTGCAGACAGTACAAGCCCACCACCAGTCTGCGTCACGGCCCAGCGGTCTGCAGTCAGCCCAAGCCAGGTACCAGTCTCTGTCCCAGCCCAGTGGTCTGCAGTCAGCCCAAGCCAGGTACCAGTCTGTGTCCCAGCCCAGTGGTCTGCAATCAGCCCAAACCAGCTACCAGTCTGTGTCCCAGCTTGGTTTCCAAAAACCTACACAAACTGGCTCCCAATCAGTCAATGGGCCCAGTGGTCTGCAGACAGTACAAGCCCACCACCAGTCTGTGTCACGGCCCAGCGGTCTGCAGTCAGTCCAAGCCCACCACCAGTCTGTGTCATGGCCCAGCGGTCTGCAGTCAGCCCAAACCAGCTACCAGTCTGTGTCCCGGCAGTCTAGATTCCAGGTCTTTCCTAAGCCAGAGCAGTCAAGTTACATGTCTCTTTCCAGTCTTGGTGCCAAACCTTTGGAGCAACCCAGTAAAATACCACTTCAAGCTATGAGTCTGATGCAGTCTGTCCAGCCTGGCTTTCAAGATCCACCACCTCTGCACTCTCGGACTACTCAAAATAAGCATTTATCTCCAGGCATATTGAGGTTGCTGCATCAAGTGAAGTCATAGCTGTATACTCTGCCTTGTTTTCTTCATTTAATGTTTGCTTTTGTTTTTGAAAAAATAAACAAACCTGTAACCTCAAGTGTCTACTGGGAGTCTTAGTGTTGTTTGTACTTCATTAGCATGACCTCATCTTTGTTTAACATAATCTGCTTTGTTCTCTCCTACTTTTACACCTGGAGATAAGTTTTGGTTGATCAGATCAAAAAAGTGTATGCTAAAAATGGGTGTAAAGGTGTCTAAAATGTTTTGAGCTTATTCACTTTCAACAAATTCCAGAGGTAGTCGAATGCATTTGACTAGATTGCTTCCGTAGTGTAAACGCTCATGTGGTCGACTGTTTGAATGACCAACTGACCCAATGCATTAACATTATGGGTGGCGGTCTTAACATAGAGGCACAGGTAGGCGGCTGCTTGGGGTCCCCTACCAGCGGTTCTAGTAGGGAGGGCCTCCAACCAACCTCAAAAAGAAAAGAAAGCCCCTTATGAACGCTTCATAAGCATGGTAAATTGTATTAATATTCTTAAGAAATATGTTGTAGTAGTTAATGTCCAGTTCATGGTTCTCTGTCCCTTAAAGTGAAAGTAGCCTAAAACTCTGCTCAACTCTGCTCATGAGGTCCCAGAAAAAGCGCTATATAAATGTAACGAATTATTATGACTGAATAACAACATTAGCTTTAATGTATAAATTATATACATTAGTCTTTACTATAGTATTTTGTACCTAAATACTGTTAAAGTATTTTACCATGAATTTCAGCCTATACCTGAAATCTGTTTATTTCATTTGTATCTTTGTTCTAATGTGTTTATTTGGGCTATTACTTGTAATTTGCTCATAAGTGTATTTAATGTTATTTATTCAAATATTTATTTATAAGCTCCTTAGTGTTGAGCCCTGTGTGTTCATATATTTCCTATTAAGACCTGGTCTTTTTGTTATAAAATAAAGTTGTCCATTCAGCTGAATACAAAAAAGAAAAGGAAAAAACCTGATGAGGGTCTCATCTGAACACAGCTTTCACCACAGGAAAGCTAACAGGAATAGTCCTGCCAGATTTTTATGTTGACGTGTATTTATTCATGACAAATCTGAAATAAAATTACCAGTGTGCTCTAGTTTTCAAACAGTTTCAATAAAGACGAAAAAATATTTGTATTTTCGCATTTGAGAATTGCAGATAATAATGAGTTTTGCAACTCTTAAAGATACTCCAAACAAATCTGTTGATTGGTTAACAACATAAAGCCATAAGTACAAATTTGCAAGAAAAAACATTTATAACATCTGTTATCATTGAACGAAATAGATTTTGATATAAAAATATATATGGCTGCTTGACCAAATCAATGCTAAGATTTTGAACAGTGAGCATTCTACTGCTTCCTTAAATGCTAAAATGTATTCTCACTGAATAAAAACATAAAGTATTTTAATTAATCCCCAAAAAGTATTTTGTGTGCTGTCTTTTTGTCCAGTAATCATAATATAAAAAAAGCAACTATCTTTAATGAAATGGCAGCTGTCATGATAGTTGTAACACCTGAACCTAATAATTGAGTATTACATGTTCCCATGACAACTGATTGTCAAGAAACAATTGGTAAATGGCAGTTGCTGGCACTATAAAAAGTCCCGTCAGGCAACACTAATATGTGTTGGAGGTCAAGTATGTTTTGTTTGACTTTTTACTGGTGTTGTTGAGGTGGTTAGTTGTTGTATTTTTGTTTGGCCATGGAGGGTACCACTAGCCGACTCTTAAGGTATGATGATAAATTGTAGTATTTGGCATTTGTTAACAAGTGGCATTCATCTAACAAGGTTTTTTTTTTTTTTCTACAGTTTTTCTTTGGCACTTCTCAGTCTTTGTGTCTGTGACCATTTTGGAAGTGGTAAGGTTTATCCAGGCAAGTTCTAAAATTCATGTTTGCTAGCACGTCTGTTTGATTCTTTCTTTCCCTTTTTTATTTTCTTCTAGTTGGTGGCTTTGTCAGGAGTGGTTATCCTCTGTACTATGAGGCTGGTTTCCCCATGCAGGATGTGAAGCCACGAAGTTCCTACAGCTGGAATGGTGCTGATGTATCAAATCCCACCAGTCCTCAAAGGTCAAGGAGTAACACTTACAGTGCTGCACAAGTTAAGGGTGTGTATAGCAGTGTAAGCTATAGTCCTCAAAATGGCTCTTCTGGTTCTGACTCTGATGCTAGTAGTGAACTTCAAGGATCTCTGATATCTTCAGCTGGTAGTGGCAGTCTCGTTTCTGGTTCTGGGGCCACTGCAATGGGTACAAGTATGCACATTGAGTCTCTACCTGAGCCAACACCGCTCAACTATCAAACTGTAGTACAGTCTAGTAATGAGTCTGTGGTGTCTAGTAGCCAGCAAATAGTGCAGAACAGCTCCCAGTCCAGTGGCCAACTAGTGGAAGGCAGCTACCAGTCTGCAGTGCAGCCAATTGTCAAGCCTCAGAGAAGTAGACTTCAAGTTGTTTCCAAGTTATTTTCTGGTAACAGGCCAGTCCAGATGTCAAGTTCTACCTTTTTGGTCAAGCCTTTGCAGCAGAGAAATGAGTCCTCACAACCCAGGTATCAGTTAGGGCAAGCCAGCTTTGGATATGGACTTGTGCCATTACTGAGTGGCCAGCAACTAGTGCAGTCACGTGATGGTTCAACAGTTCAGCCTAGTGGTGTGCAGCTAGCACAGGCAAGATACCAACTTGTGGCCCGGCCCAGCCTCCAACAGTCATCTCAAGCCAGCAGCCAGAACTCTGAACAAGCTGTATCGCAATCTGTGGACCAGTCCAGTGGCCTACAATCAGCCCAAGCCAGCTCTCAGTCTGTGGACCAGTCTGGCATCCAACAACCAGCCCAAGCCAGCTCACAATCTGTTGAACTGTCAGGTAGTCTGCTGTCAGCCCAAGCCAGCTCACAGTCTGTGGACCAGTCTGGCATCCAACAACCAGCCCAAGCCAGCTCACAATCTGTTGAACTGTCAGGTAGTCTGCTGTCAGCCCAAGCCAGCTCACAGTCTGTGGACCAGTCTGGCATCCAACAACCAGCCCAAGCTAGCTCACAGTTTGTGGACCAGTCTGGCATCCAACGACCAGCCCAATCCAGCTCACAGTCTGGCCTACCATCAGCACAAGCCAGCTACCAGTTTGTGCCACAGCTTGGTTTCCAAAAACCTACACAAACTGGCTCCCAATCAGTGAATGGCCCCAGTGGTCTGCAGACAGTACAAGCCCGCTACCAGTCTTTGTCCCGGCCCAGCGGTCTGCAGACAGTACAGGCCCGCTACCAGTCTGTGTCCCGGCCCAGTGGTCTACAGTCAGGACAAGCCCGCTACCAGTCTGTGTCCCGGCCAAGCGGTCCGCAGTCAGCGCAGGCCCGTTACCAGTCTATGGACCAGCTAAGCAGTCTGCAATCAGGCCAACCCAGCTACCAGTCTCTGTCACAGCTCAGTGGCTTGCAGTCAGCCCAAGCCAGGTACCAGTCTGTGTCTCAGCCCAGCGGTCTGCAGTCAGGACAAGCCCGCTACCAGTCTTTGTCCCGGCCCAGCGGTCTGCAGTCAGCCCAAGCCAGGTACCAGTCTGTGTCCCAGCCCAGCGGTCTGCAGTCAGCCCAATCCAGGTACCAGCCTGTGTCCCAGCCCAGCGGTCTGCAATCAGCCCAAGCCAGATACCTGTCTCTATCCTTGCCCAGCGGTCTTCAGTCAGCACAAGCCCGTTACCAGTCTGTGGACCAGCCCAGTGACCTACAATCAGCCCAAGCCAGCTCTCAGTCTGTGGACCAGTCTAGAATCCAACAACCATCCCAAGCCAGCTCACAATCTGTTGAACTGTCAGGTAGCCTGCTGTTAGCCCAAGCCAGCTCACAGTCTGTGGACCAGTCTGGCATCCAACAACCAGCCCAAGCTAGCTCACAGTTTGTGGACCAGTCTGGCATCCAACAACCAGCCCAAGCTAGCTTACAGTTTGTGGACCAGTCTGGCATCCAACAACCAGCCCAAGACAACTCCCAGTTTGTGGACCAGTCTGGCATCCAACAACCAGCCCAAGACAGCTCACAGTTTGTGGACCAGTCTGGCATCCAACAACCAGCCCAAGTTAGCTCACAGTTTGTGGACCAGTCTGGCATCCAACAACCAGCCCAAGTTAGCTCACAGTTTGTGGACCAGTCTGGCATCCAACAACCAGCCCAAGTTAGCTCACAGTTTGTGGACCAGTCTGGCATCCAACAACCAGCCCAAGTTAGCTCACAGTTTGTGGACCAGTCTGGCATCCAACAACCAGCCCAAGCCAGCTCACAGTTTGTGGACCAGTCTGGCATCCAACAACCAGCCCAAGCCAGCTCACAGTTTGTGGACCAGTCTGGCATCCAACAACCAGCCAAAGTTAGCTCACAGTTTGTGGACCAGTCTGGCATCCAACAACCAGCCCAAGCCAGCTCACAGTTTGTGGACCAGTCTGGCATCCAACAACCAGCCCAAGCCAGCTCACAGTTTGTGGACCAGTCTGGCATCCAACAACCAGCCCAAGTTAGCTCACAGTTTGTGGACCAGTCTGGCATCCAACAACCAGCCCAAGCCAGCTCACAGTCTGGCCTGCCACCAGCACAAGCCAGCTACCAGTTTGTGCCCCAGCTTGGTTTCCAAAAACATACACAAACTGGCTCCCAATCAGTGAATGGCCCCAGTGGTCTGCAGACAGTACAAGCTCGCTACATGTCTTTGTCCCGGCCCAGCAGTCTGCAGACAGTACAGGCCCGCTACCAGTCTGTGTCCCGGCCCAGCGGTCTGCAGTCAGCCCAAGCCAGGTACCAGTCTGTGTCCCAGCCCAGTGGTCTGCAGTCAGCCCAAGCCAGGTACCAGTATGTGTCCCAGCCCAGTGGTCTGCAGTCAGCCCAAGCCAGGTACCAGTCTGTGTCCCAGCCCAGTGGTCTGCAGTCAGCCCAAGCCAGCTACCAGTCTCTGTCCCAACCCAGTGGCCTGCAGTCAGCACAAGCCCGTTACCAGTCTATGGACCAGCTAAGCCGTCTCCAATCAGGCCAAGCCCGCTACCAGTCTGTGTCCCAGCTTGGATTCCAAAAACCCACACAAACTGGCTCCCAATCGGTGAATGGGCCCAGTGGTCTGCAGACAGTACAAGCCCGTTACCAGTCTGTGTCTCGGCCCAGTGGCCTGCAGTCAGCACAAGCCCGTTACCAGTCTATGGACCAGCTAAGCGGTCTGCAATCAGCCCAAGCCAGGTACCAGTCTGTGTCCCAGCCCAGTAGCCTGCAGTCAGCACAAGCCCGTTACCCGTCTGTGGACCAGCCCAGTGACCTGCAGTCAGCCCAAGCCAGGTACCAGTCTGTGTCCCAGCCCAGCAGTCTGCAGTCAGCACAAGCCCGTTACCAGCCTAGCAGTTTGCAATCAGCACAAACCAGGTACCAGTCTGTGTCCCAGCTTGGTTTCCAAAAACCTACACAAACTGGCTCCCAATCAGTCAATGGGCCCAGTGGTCTGCAGACAGTACAAGCCCACTACCAGTCTGTGTCACGGCCCAGCGGTCTGCAGTCAGCCCAAGCCAGGTACCAGTCTGTGTCCCAGCCCAGTGGTCTGCAGTCAGCCCAAGCCAGGTACCAGTCTGTGTCCCAGCCCAGTGGTCTGCAGTCAGCCCAAGCCAGGTACCAGTCTGTGTCACGGCCCAGCGGTCTGCAGTCAGCCCAAACCAGCTACCAGTCTGTGTCCCGGCAGTCTAGATTCCAGGTCTTTCCTAAGCCAGAGCATTCAAGTTACATGTCTCTTTCCAGTCTTGGTGCCAAACCTTTGGAGCAACCCAGTAAAATACCACTTCAAGCTATGAGTCTGATGCAGTCTGTCCAGCCTGGCTTTCAAGATCCACCACCTCTGCAGTCTCTGACTACTCAAAATAAGCATTTATCTCCAGGCATATTGAGGTTGCTGCATCAAGTGAAGTCATAGCTGTATACTCTGCCTTGTTTTCTTCTTTTAATGTTTGCTTTTGTTTTTGAAAAAATAAACAAACCTGTAACCTCAAGTGTCTACTGGGAGTCTTAGTGTTGTTTGTACTTCATTAGCATGACCTCATCTTTGTTTAACATAATCTGCTTTGTTCTCTCCTACTTTTACACCTGGAGATAAGTTTTGGTTGATCAGATCAAAAAAGTGTATGCTTAAAAATGGGTGTAAAGGTGTCTAAAATGTTTTGAGCTTATTCACTTTCAACAAATTCCAGAGGTAGTCGAATGCATTTGACTAGATTGCTTCCGTAGTGTAAACGCTCATGTGGTCGACTGTTTGAATGACCAACTGACCCAATGCATTAACATTATGGGTGGCGGTCTTAACATAAAGGCACAGGTAGGTGGCTGCTTGGGGTCCCCTACCAGCGGTTCTAGTAGGGAGGGCCTCCAACCAACCTCAAAAAGAAAAGAAAGCCCCTTATGAACGCTTCATAAGCATGGTAAATTGTATTAATATTCTTAAGAAATATGTTGTAGTAGTTAATGTCCAGTTCATGGTTCTCTGTCCCTTAAAGTGAAAGTAGCCTAAAACTCTGCTCAACTCTGCTCATTAGGTCCCAGAAAAAGCGCTATATAAATGTAACGAATTATTATGACTGAACAACTTTAGCATTAATGTATAAATTATATACATTAATCTTTACTATAGTATTTTGTACCTAAATACTGTTAAAGTATTTTACCATGAATTTCAGCCTATACCTGAAATCTGTTTATTTCATTTGTATCTTTGTTCTAATGTGTTTATTTGGGCTATTACTTGTAATTTTCTCATAAGTGTATTTAATGTTATTTATTCAAATATTTATTTATTTATAAGCTCCTTAGTGTTGAGCCCTGTGTGTTCATATATTTCCTATTAAGACCTGGTCTTTTTGTTATAAAATAAAGTTGTCCATTCAGCTGAATACAAAAAAGAAAAGGAAAAAACCTGATGAGGGTCTCATCTGAACACAGCTTTCACCACAGGAAAGCTAACAGGAATAGTCCTGCCAGATTTTTATGTTGACGTGTATTTATTCATGACAAATCTGAAATAAAATTACCAGTGTGCTCTAGTTTTCAAACAGTTTCAATAAAGACGAAAAAATATTTGTATTTTCGCATTTGAGGATTGCAGATAATAATGAGTTTTGCAACTCCTAAAGATACTCCAAACAAATCTGTTGATTGGTTAACAACATAAAGCCATAAGTACAAATTTGCAAGAAAAAACATTTATAACATCTGTTATCATTGAACGAAATAGATTTTAATATAAAAATATATATGGCTGCTTGACCAAATCAATGCTAAGATTTTGAACAGTGAGCATTCTACTGCTTCCTTAAATGCTAAAATGTATTCTCACTGAATAAAAACATAAAGTATTTTAATTAATCCCCAAAAAGTATTTTGTGTGCTGTCTTTTTGTCCAGTAATCATAATATAAAAAAAGCAACTATCTTTAATGAAATGGCAGCTGTCATGATAGTTGTAACACCTGAACCTAATAATTGAGTATTACATGTTCCCATGACAACTGATTGTCAAGAAACAATTGGTAAATGGCAGTTGCTGGCACTATAAAAAGTCCCGTCAGGCAACACTAATATGTGTTGGAGGTCAAGTATGTTTTGTTTGACTTTTTACTGGTGTTGTTGAGGTGGTTAGTTGTTGTATTTTTGTTTGGCCATGGAGGGTACCACTAGCCGACTCTTAAGGTATGATGATAAATTGTAGTATTTGGCATTTGTTAACAAGTGGCATTCATCTAACAAGGTTTTTTTTTTTTTCTACAGTTTTTCTTTGGCACTTCTCAGTCTTTGTGTCTGTGACCATTTTGGAAGTGGTAAGGTTTATCCAGGCAAGTTCTAAAATTCATGTTTGCTAGCACGTCTGTTTGATTCTTTCTTTCCCTTTTTTATTTTCTTCTAGTTGGTGGCTTTGTCAGGAGTGGTTATCCTCTGTACTATGAGGCTGGTTTCCCCATGCAGGATGTGAAGCCACGAAGTTCCTACAGCTGGAATGGTGCTGATGTATCAAATCCCACCAGTCCTCAAAGGTCAAGGAGTAACACTTACAGTGCTGCACAAGTTAAGGGTGTGTATAGCAGTGTAAGCTATAGTCCTCAAAATGGCTCTTCTGGTTCTGACTCTGATGCTAGTAGTGAACTTCAAGGATCTCTGATATCTTCAGCTGGTAGTGGCAGTCTCGTTTCTGGTTCTGTGACCACTGCAATGGGTACAAGTATGCACATTGAGTCTCTACCTGAGCCAACACCGCTCAACTATCAAACTGTAGTACAGTCTAGTAATGAGTCTGTGGTGTCTAGTAGCCAGCAAATAGTGCAGAACAGCTCCCAGTCCAGTGGCCAACTAGTGGAAGGCAGCTACCAGTCTGCAGTGCAGCCCATTGTCAAGCCTCAGAGAAGTAGACTTCAAGTTGTTTCCAAGTTATTTTCTGGTAACAGGCCAGTCCAGATGTCAAGTTCTACCTTTTTGGTCAAGCCTTTGCAGCAGAGAAATGAGTCCTCACAACCCAGGTATCAGTTAGGGCAAGCCAGCTTTGGATATGGACTTGTGCCATCACTGAGTGGCCAGCAACTAGTACAGTCACGTGATGGTTCAACAGTTCAGCCTAGTGGTGTGCAGCTAGCACAGGCAAGATACCAACTTGTGGCCCAGCCCAGCCTCCAGCAGTCATCTCAAGCCAGCAGCCAGAACTCTGAACAAGCTGTATCGCAATCTGTGGACCAGTCCAGTGGCCTACAATCAGCCCAAGCCAGCTCACAGTCTGTGGACCAGTCTGGCATCCAACAACCAGCCCAAGCCAGCTCACAATCTGTTGAACTGTCAGGTAGTCTGCTGTCAGCCCAAGCCAGCTCACAGTCTGTGGACCAGTCTGGCATCCAACAACCAGCCCAAGCCAGCTCACAATCTGTTGAACTGTCAGGTAGTCTGCTGTCAGCCCAAGCCAGCTCACAGTTT